TAGGCGACGGTGGTTGGAGTGAACTGTAGTCGGTAGGCGATGATGGTTAGAGGGACCGTAATTAGCGGGCAACAATGGTCAGATGATTGTCATAAAAAAGGTCATAGTCAGGAGATAGTGATTACAAGGGCCGTAGTCAGGCAACCGTGGTTGGAAGGACCGTAGTCGGCGGGCGGTGATGGTTGGAAGGATCGTACTTGGCAGGGAAATGGAGACCGGAATGACCGTAGTTGGGTGACGGTGGTCAGAAGGACCATCGTCAGGCAATAATGGTTAAAAGGAAGTCCGCTAGTGGCCGACGACCAGGTGAAAGTTCGGAGGCAGTAGGCGGCCGAGCGATGCAAGCTTAAGAAAGCAAGAGAGATCCTTTGGTTTTCATCTTTTTCCCCTCTTCTTCCTTTCCCCTTGTGAAAAATGAGGGATCTATTTATAATTTTTTTAGAGTGACATGTCTAGTAAACAACGAGAAGATCAAGAGCATGTGGAATGTTTTCCAATAGACGACTGATATCAACTCCCTCAATCATGGCATCAAGCATTTGAGTGCCTTAATGATGCCAAATTTTGGTGTTCTTGGGCTCATTGAATTCATCTTGTCGAGTTGCTTGCCTATAAGCATGTCGCATTTGTATATCATTTGGTCATTCAATTAATATTTTGAAGCTTTTAAATAGGTTTTGGGCCCTTAATTTGGATCCATTTGGGTTCGGATCGAATCGATTTTGGTGTCAATGGGTTCATTTCTTCGAGACATTCAGTTTGACTATAAATTTGTTGAAATTAGAGTTTAAATGGTCGCAAAATTAATTTTATAAGTTTTTATTCATATTTACATTAAGATTTGTGCCCGATCAAAATAATTTTTTTATGTCATATCACTTCTTATGGGAGTTAAGTAGAACGTAGATGAGTGAAGCTTGAATAAGTCTATATCTTGGGCTATTTTAGTAGTTTTGGCTCTAACCAAATGCATGCTTTAGACAAGTACCAAGCTGGTTCATTATAATGATTTACTTAATCAAATTTAAGCTCTAATGATGACTTGATCGACCTGCTTCAAATTAATAAGAGTGTATATCATTAACATTCAATATCATTAAACAAAATATTGACTAATTGTATTCTTAAGAAAATATTTATGCTTAAATTACCTCTATTCTCTCTAAATTTAAAACATTTGACAATTAGGTTATTAAAAATAGATGCAAGTGAATTAAGCATGTGTAAGAAGAAGCATAAGTTTCATAAATAATATAAAAATAGATCGTTTTAGGCTTCGTTTGGGATGACTTTCTTACTGCTTTAAGAAGCAGTAAGAAAGTCGTCCCAATTAAAGCAATAAGAAAGTCATCTCAAAAGAAGTCTGAGGTTTCATTTGGGAGAGTTTTTTTTATTACTTTTTAAAATAATTTTTTAATAAAAAAATTAAAATTTATGTACTATAAAGCCGTTTTAAGAAGCTGTAAGAAAACCATTGCAAACGAAGTCTAAATCCATCATTTTTTAAATTATTAAAGAAACAGAAAAGAAAGCTGTCCCCAATAAAACCTTAATGCATGATAAGAAGGAAGTAAACCTTAATCAACGTGGTTTAGCACTAAGCCATAAAGGAAAAAACTATCATCATATCGTTATTAAATTTTATATGGCTATGTGAATGCAAGGATTGAGATTAGACTGTTGGCTTGATGATATATTTCTTTAAAAGCTGTAGGAAGATCATTATTATGAAATTATTTAAACAATTAGTTATCTTTGACGATTTTCAACTTTATAACAAAAAAATAAAAAATAAATTGCGTTGAAGAAAAAGGAGTTATAAGATTTGACGTTGCATGGATTTCCATTCCTAATAAATAATTAAAGAACAAATAAGAAAATAATGAACTGTTAAGACCCATACTTTATTTTTAATGCATGACAGCAAGAAGACATGCTGAGGACAGCACTACAAATTAGTATGATGTGAGTTTATGAGTAAAGCATCAGGAATCTCTAACCGAAAATTTTATTTTCTACCTCAAAATACAGTAATTTATCTATAATAGAATTCTATTTCTTCCTCCTCTTTCGTGCACTTCTTCATCTCACTGCAAAGGTAACAATCTTTTTCCTCTTTCGCGTGCTTCTTCGTCAAATTTCCTAATACAAAAAATCAACGTATGTGAACAGTGTGGCACCACCTACCGAATTTTGGCGTGCGATTTAGCATTTGAATAGAGCTACTGACGGACGACGACATACCACCGTATATAGTTTGGTTAGAGATGGTCATAATTGTTGCTTGTGTTTTATATAGTAATTAAGGGGATATTATCTTAACAGGTTTGTTAAGCAATTAATAATCAAAGATGATAAGCCGAAGGCGTAACTAATTGACGATATGTGAATATTTGTGAGGTAATGCTACCCCTTGAAAAGAATTTAGGTTTTATTTGAGACAATTTTATTACTGATATCTAAAGTAGTTTTTCTTACTACTTTCTAAAGTAGTTATTTCTAAGATTTTATTTGGGACAATTTTCTTTCTGATTTGCTTTTCAGATGTAATCACAGTTTTTGTTTAGCCACTATTTTTTACTGTTTTAAATAATTTTTTTTTCTAAGAAGCTATTTTTTCCACAGCAACTTTACAATCATCTTTATAAAAGCTAAGCCATCTAAAATGAACCCAAAAAAAGATGGTGCTCATTTTGCTTTTTGACCATTTGGGATGATATATACTCGAATGTGAATGGTAAGCATATGGCTGTTTATAAGCTTCATTAACAAATTGAAAGTTTCTTTAGGCCGACTATTTAGGCTTCATCAACAAATTGAAAGCTTCATCAACAAAGCATATCTTGATGCATGTCAATCATCTCAAAACTAACTAAATTGACACAAAATCTATCCAACTCATGAGTCTTATGATTTGCGTTGAGGATATCTCAAGTTTGACTCGTTAGTTCATTAAGCTCAACTAAAAAATTATTTATTGAGCTTATCAAGAGTCAACTCATGAGCCAGATTTTCAAAGTTATGCCTTTAATCTAGATGACGCTCTTTTTGAAGATAGAGTTGACATGAACTGAAGGTAGCGATTGTTATAATATAAGTGAGGTTATGATGTAGGCCATGCAACAAATGATTATAGGTCAAATAGGATTGAAGTGCAAATCTTGAAGAGATAGGTGCAATGTAAGCAGGGTTGCGATGCAGGTTAGTGTGCAACAACAGATGTAGCATGAGTAGGATGTGCCATACTTGAAGGCATTACTGTTGAATAAATACGATGTCGATCGACATAGGCATTATCAATAAGCAAAGACATCATCAATGGACAGGGGCGGAACCCTCTTAGTTTTTAGGCAATTACCCCCCCTAAAACTTTTAAAATACTATGATATTTAGGCAATTGCCCCAAACAAATAGTAAAAAATATTCATTATTTTATTTTTAAATGTCAATTCCAAAAATATCCTTACAACCAAAATTTATTTCGGGGGCGTTGCCCCTGGAAACCCCCATAGGGGTGCTGCCCCTTGACCCCGGGACCTGACCGGGTTGGTCTAACCTCGCTAGGGGCACTGCTCCCTTCCACCCCCGACAGTTATTTATAAGTTTGCCCCCCTCCCCCCCTCTGAAAATTAAGGCTAGTTCCGCCCCTGTCACTGGACAATTGCATCGCCAAAGAATGAAAGCATTATTGATGAAGGCATAATGATAGTCATATTTCTGACCATGTCAATGATTGTGTGAATTTTAAAGCTAGGGTGGTTGTCATATAAAAATCAAATGTATCATGGGATTCTAAAGGCCATGTCATATTATCTTATTGAAAGATGGGCTAATTTAGTTAGTTTATATGTTAAGGTTGCAAAAGTTCATATGCAAATCCAGCTTTCAAATTTTAATATTTAGGTTTCGTTTGGAACAACTTTCGTATTGCTTCTTAAACAAATTTTCTAGTGCAAAAATCAGTACGAAAGCCGTCACAAACAAAGCCTTAGAATTGAAAATCTATTTATAACTTTCTAAGTGCAATGCTTTTGATAAATCTAGCCATGATCCCAAAATATTACATTGGCTCATATTCATACCCTCATTCATAAATTATTTTTCTAGCATTTAAGTGCCTCAATAATGTTGAAATTAAGTAATTTTTAGCTCTTTGAATTAATCTCATCAAGAAGCTTGATTTGACTATAAGCATGAAAGATTTGAAGATCATTTAATTGTCTAATTAATATTATACAATTTTTAATTATACTTAAATGATTGATTTGAACTCATTTAGAATTGGAATATTGGTTCACTTTTGATGTTAATATGATTATCTCATTAAAATATTCAGTTCGATAGTAGGTTTAATAAAATTAGAATTTGGATGATTTGGATTTTTTTTTTTGAAGTCTTCATTTAAATAATGCTCGAGTGATGTTTGTCAAGTGATTTTTTTTTATGATGTATCATTTCTTATATTTATTTTTCCTATGTTTAATTTTATTATTTTTTATGTAATTATATTAGTTAAAAAAAGATTGATCAAGCAAATAATAAATATTAGATATTAAATATGAAAATATGATAATTTTGAGTGTTATGTATATAACTGTCTTTTTAAAATAATGAATTAAAATATTTTTTTATTGAATATTAACAAATATTGTCAACCCTAGTTAAATTAATTAAGAGGCATTTGGTTGGAGGGATTTATATGTCTTGCATTATTAATTTAGGAGTTTTGAAAATTTAAGTATTTGATTGGCTAAAAAATAAATTTAAAACATTTTTAAATGGAATTTTAAACTTAATGCCTATTGATTGGGTAATTTCATAATACACCACACTTGATCATAATTAATATAAGATAGTAGTTTAATTAATAATTAATTAGAAATGTATTAAACTAATTAAACATAATAACCAAATTTAATCAAATTAAATTACAAATATTATAAATTTATTGAAATTAACATATTTTATTTTTAACCGATATTTAATTAATGTACACTTGGCGTGCCGCTCCTACCCTAATTTCCGAATGCGCGAGGAAATTGCAACGGAGATCGCTGGGAAGGGCATCGACGTGACTGGCGGCGGGTGATCAAGAAGAGTTCATGATGGGAGCTCGTTGGGGGCAGGATTCTACGGGACCGGCGGTGTATGAAGACAAGAAGAGTTCATGAAGGGAGCTCGCTGGGGACAGGCATCAACGGGACTAGCGGCGTGTTAAGGAGAGAAGAGTTCGTGGCGGGAGCTCGATGGGTGAATTGACGACGCTGATTTAAGTTAAATCCTTCGATTTCCTTGATTTCTTAAATCCTTGATTTAAGGTAAAACGGGGGAGAAACGGGATATAAGATATGTAGGATTTAAGTTCTCCATTGCGATTTGCTTGACTGCAAACAATTTGATCCGCCTTTTTCTCCGCCAAATCCTAGTTCTCATATTCGGGCAAATGTTTGATCTAATTGGCTTCGTGTTCTGGCGCTGGCAGTACAATGGCGAGAGGAAACGAGGTCTCATCAATGGAGGTCGACGAGGGAAAAACCGCCGCGAACAGTCCTAAGTTCTCGATCAATGGTTTCCTTACTTTCTCTCCCTCATCTGTTTATTTTTTTCTTTAATTCATGAGGATTTAGGAAGCTGTTGATTAATTGTGTTACCTGCAGTGCTGCAGCTTTTGAAATCTGCTCAGATGCAGCACGGTTTGAGGCATCGGGATTACACCCGCTATCGGTATGTATGGTTTGCTATTATAATACATGATTTTGACTGCCGTTTTTTCAATGTTTGAGACAATGTGGAGTTATTTGCTTTATCTATACCTGCTCAATTTGATCTCCATTTCTTTTGCTGGATTGTTGTTGCCAAATTTTGTCTGATAGTGTTAAAATACCAACAACTTACTTTTGCATTATATGACTAAATATTTGAATGATCATTGAGACAAAATGCTGAACATAAGGAGATGCTTCTTTTATCCCATGTTTGGAGAGAGATTTCTCATCCTATTTGCCAAGTGAACGTGCTATTTTAGCTTTTCTACGATAGTTTCCTGAAATTTGATTAACCCGTAGTTAATTCTTACATAGGATTTGAATTGCAAAGTAATGCAATCATCATATTTTATGGATGATAACTAGAAATCATAAAAGTCAGCAACATATACAAAAAAAAGTCAGATTTCTCAGTCTTTATTCCGATTTATGACATCCTGTAGAGTCAAAAGTGCAATATCATGTTATTTTGTTCTTTGTTTATTCTTCTCTCTTCTCTTAAGCATTAGACCTAATCCTCTTAGTTATGCAAGTATATTTGTGTGCTGCTACCTTACTATTCATCAACTCGACTATTTCTTTTCAGGAGATATTGCACTGCACGACTGCGAAGACTATACAAATCATTGAAGTTCACGCATGGTCGTGGCAAATATGTAAAGAAAGCTATTACTGAGTCCACTGTTACAGAAGTGAGGTATGATTGATGGGTCTGTTACTCTGTCTTGAAATTATTTTTGTGCCAGTTTGGGTCTCACTGAGCTTTCAGCTGTCCTTGTTTGTAAGTAATTTATTTCCATTCAAGTTTCTGCAGTGCTAGTATTGTGCATTTTGGTATATAGGCCATGCAGAAAATCATGTTGGATTTCCTTTGAGATGCTACTCATGTTTAATGCGGTAGCTGCAGTTTGTTCTGGCACTTGGAGTTAAAAATCACATGGCATTAATATTTGTAAAATGTTTTGATTGGTATTTCTAATTGTTATTTAGAATTTTTTTATAGGTTTCTCCATATACTTCTTTACATGTCAGAAAGGGCTTGGAGCCATGCCATGGAAAAAAGGCATTTGCCTGATGGACCAAATTCACGACAACGCATTTACTTGCTTGGAAGACTAAGAAAGGCAGTAAAATGGGCTGCGCTTTTTGCACAATTGTGTGCTACAAAAGGAGATTCTAGATCATCACTGGAAGCGGAGGTTTGAAGCTATGATTTAGTTCTTCCACTATTTATGTACATGACAATATGCCACCTATAAATTACAAATACTTCAAAAAGCCCTTCATTTCCTTGTCGATCCTCTGAATTCTCTTGACACACATTTGATATGTAAAAATTATGCACAATATTTTTTCTTTTAAGAATTAAAGCTCGACATAGCCAAAAATACGCCCTAATATGGCTGAGGCACACCCTAAAATGACTGATACAAGCAATGATGTTGAACTACATGAACTAGCTTTGGAAAATTTTGTTTTTCTCGATGATGCTTAAGGTGATATTGAAGAGGATATCAGTCTTAGCGATGATGATCACGACAACTTGTATCTTTAATCCAATTAGTGATATATCAATTTGTTCAAAATTTATGTGACTGTTTTAAAGATTCAATACCTAGTAAAATATGTAGATGCATATGCTTTAGAATTTATTCATGCACCTGACCTAAAATTGAGTAAGAATCCAAACTTGAATATGAAATTGAAGTTGACGATGAGATCATATGTGAATTTAGACTTGGATCAGAATTTGAATTTGTCCTTACTTTTGAGCTGAATATATTATATTTATTGTAGTTGTTAAATTCATTGTTTAAAATTGCGCAATATATGGCTTGTCTTGAGACCCGCCTCAACACAATTACAGTGAAATGCACCTCGAAGCTTACTCTCAAGCTTTTTTTATGAGGCATGTCTTGCCTCGCTAGTGTGACTGTGTGAGGCGTATGTCTTACAGAGAGAAATTCAAATTCTATTCTATTCCTTGGAATCATTACATATATACATTCTAGGATAATAAATGGAAAAAGGAAATATATTTAATCTAATTAATTATAATAATCATATCTCACAGATCTCCAATTGTAGCCCTTGGATTACTGCCCACAATCTCCAACTGCAGCCCTTGGATTATTGCCTGCAGATCTCCAATAGCAGCCCTCGGATTGCTGACGTGGCCTCCCCTTGGCTACATGATTCATAGTTTTGACATTAGGAGCTTATATGTTCCGAGTTTAGTATATCTTAACTTATATTTCCAACTTATACTAATTCATAGTTTTCCAATAACGTTTAAAATTTATTTATTTAATTCAGTGGATGATATTAATTTCACTTAAAATTATGTTGGAGCTTATTTGCAATGTTTTTGTAGACTTATATTGCTTTTGGAAACCTTATGTTTCTTCTTTCACTTATCCAATAAATTATTTTTCTTTGATGTGGTTGATGAAATCTTGGGCCTCATTCATCATGCTGATTTTTTTTAGTGTGCTTCCGTGCTATTTGCAGGTCTTTTTGTTAGCTATTCTAACTGCGGTATTCCGTACATTTAACAAGATCAGAAAGAACATTGAAATGATTTTGCATGTATAGTAAATTTGCTGTTATGGCTTCTACTATGAAATCATCACGTTCACTAAGTCTTTTTGTCTAACTTGCTATTTAGCCGCTGTTTAATGTACCGTATGAGTGCAATTTTTTTTGACCACGCCACTTTAACATAATAATGACAATAATCATTATCATATCCCTCCATAATTTACGTGTTACAGTTTGTCATTTTATGCTATTGTAAGCAATACGGCCAACCATGTTTTCTTTGGTCATTGTGTTTTGAAACTGCAGATTGCACAGTTGCTCGCTATGGTTCCATTATCTTAAGTCAGTTGACTTCTCATCCATAACTTCCAACCTTGTGCTATATCAGCATCTTCACCACTTCAGTGCTCGCTTTTAAACATTGCTTTTTTATTTGGAATCCTGATTGATCGTCATATTCCTTCATATAATTAATTCAGAGTCTAAATTTCTTCCTTTCAATTTAACTTTTCCTACACTTTGTTGATAGCTTTTCTTTACAACAGACTGATATTGTTTGTAGAGCATCCATGACAGCCTGCATCCTTTCATTTATGCTGGCTATCCCTTTTTCATGACATAGGCTTATTGGTGTGCAGGCATATGCTTCGTATATGAAAGGAACGCTATTGTTTGAACAGGATCAAAATTGGAAAACTGCATTGATGAACTTCAGAAAAGCCAGGTCCATATATATCCACCTGAAATGGTCATGATGATTAAAATTTGTGGCCTAATAAGTTGAAAATCTTGAATTCGCTGTGACAAATATGCCGTCTCTTTGACTAGCTTGTTTTTGCATTAATCTTGTCAATGTCTCTGTCTCTTTCTTTTTTTTTTAATCCGAGTCTTGCAGTCCTTGTCTCTTTTGTTCTTAGGAATCACATTTTATTGAGAAACTTTTTTAAGCTGCTTGCTTATGTTTATGCCATAGGGATGTGTATGAGGAACTCGGGAAATATGGCAGCATAGAAAATCAGGTTTTATGTCGTGAGAGAGTTGAAGAGTTGGAGCCAAGTATTAGGTACTGTCTACACAAAGTCGGTGAATCAGACCTGCAAACTTCTGAACTAATGGATATTGGGGAAGTCGAGGGTCCTGCTTTGGACCTTTTCAAAGCTAAATTAGAGGTAAGTTTGGTTCCTCGATGCATAAAGTTGGACTCTCTAGTTGAACTTGTTACTTTTGTTGCTTGCTTAACATGGTTAAGGATATATTGATGTCCTTGATTGATTCTCATAATCTACAGGTACATAATACACGTGTTATATTGAAAACATTTTCTTTTTTTTAGGAAAATATATGTGTTTTCTCACAGCACTCTAGTATTTCTTGTACGTTTTCTGATGTGTCATTGACATGCTTCGCATTCATTATCCAAGTTTCCTTTATGTATAAAGGCATGTTAATGTATTAGTAAAATTGAAAATGTAGTTAATATGTGACTATTTTATGGTTTGGCTCTATTTGACGTTGGCCAAAATGAATTTTGAAGGATAAAAAGTCTGATTTTGTTTGCTTTATACCTTAGAAGATATTCTGCTTATTGTTGTCATACTCACAATAAATAGTTGCATTCACATTAATTCCAATTATTTAGCTTTTTGAACAGTTGGGTTGGCAATGCCTTGTTCATTTAATGCGTGATTTTGAACGGATGGTTGCATATTTAAATTTACCTTATCCTTGTTGCTTGTTTGTCCTTTTTGGTGGGATTTTATCTTGCTTTGGGCTGTTTTTTATATCCGGACATGCACTTTCAGTGAGTTTCATTTAGTGATGTTGTATTAAGTGATTATGAAGCAATATGAATTTGGGCGGATGATAGTATTTTTAATATTAGTATATGTTTTTATTCTTGCTGCCTGTTTTTCCTTATTGGTGGAATATCCTCTTTGGGCCATTTCTTGAATCTTGATTCTGCACTATTAGTAAGTTTCATTTGGTAATGTTGTGTCAAGTGATTGTGAAGCCATGAAAGAATGATCCCATGCAACAGCGTGTTTTTTGCTTCACATTTCTTATTGAAATAAAAAAAAAAGTAATGTCAATGGGCTTTAAATTCATTATTTTACTCATCATGACTTTTGGTGCGAACACACAAGCCATCTTCCTGTTCATTTAGCAAGTTACATGCTGTTTTTGTTGTTTGGAAAATGTTCTATATTTTGAGAGTAGCCAAATATCTTTGGTGGAGATTGTTTAATATACCACTTGACATGCGGATTTTCAATCGGTATTTCAGGCTGTTATGGCTGAGGCAAGATCCCAGCAGGCTGCATCTATGACAGAATTCTACTGGCTTGGCCATAGGTTTCCAATCAATAATGCGAAAACTCGTGTCTCCATATTGAAAGGTTTGTATTTTTTCTAGTTCTCTCATTTCTAAGTAACTTGCCTGGAAAGACACGTTAAATACTTTTCATCAAAACTTCTGCATCACTCGCTGAAACCACCTTTAATTCCTTGATTAGTTGATTTGATTTTACTTTAAATTAAAATAATGCTCAGCTCAGGAACTGGAGAAAGATTTACATGGGCCAGCAGCAGATGCACTTCCAGCAGAAAAGAAACTATCCATGTTTGATAAAATATTTTCTGCATACCATGAAGCAAGAGCTTGCATTAGGAGTGATTTGGTACTCATCTGCATGCTCGAGATGTTTTGACAGATTTCATATGATGTAGTTATGCAACTTTTGTAACCTATTTGTATTACATCTATCTAAAGTTCTTTTGTTGAATTTTTCTAACCATTTCTTAAATCAGGCTTCTGCAGGGAATGCAGACAATGTAAAAATTGATTTGAATGGCCTTGATAAGGCAGTTAGTGCTTCTTTGGGGCAGCGCACCATAGAACGCAACCAATTACTGATTTCTATTGCAAAAACCAAGTTTACAAAGCAGCGAGATGAGAAGGGGGAGAAAATCACAAAACCAGAGGAGCTTGTTCGACTGTATGATCTTCAAATACAGGTATAGTGTTTGAATTCTGAATTTTGTCTTAGGCTTTGTTTGGGATGACTTTCTTGCTACTACTTAAAGTAACTTTTTTGTAAAAAATTAAAATTTTTTACTAGAAAACGGCTTTAAGAAGCAATAAGAAGGCCGTCCCAAATGAAGCCTTATAGTGAGTCGGTCCTTTTAGTAATTAAATATGACGTTCTAGTATCAAATGAGGCTGTACTGTATTGTAAAAATTTTCTTTTTAAATTTCTCACAAAGAATCGAACTTTTTTTTCCCTGCAGAATTCAACCGATTTATATGATTTAGTTAGCTCTCAAAGGAATATGAACCAGGAAGAAGACTCATTTTCAAAGGAATATGAACTTAAGGGCTTGGCTTTCAGAGCAGAAAGGTTTTTGCGACTCCTTACATGCTCTGAACTCATCATTAACCTGTATTAAATATCATCAGCTGTGCAACATATGAATTATATTTTACATTAATTTTCAGTAATGAGCCTTTATCTAACTCATTATTTTTTTTATTATGATATGAGAGTGATTTCGACGTGTGCATGCATGAAAAAAGTTGGTTCAGTCGGATATTGATTTGTCATAAACTGAGAGCTACAAACCCAATCACAGTGAGATGCTAATATCGATTTGTGGTTAGTTTCTATGTGTGTTACATGAATCATTTGAGCTATTGATTGGAGGAAGCTATCGAGCCTGTGCTCAGTTGGGAGAACCTGGGAGCAATCCAAGTTAAAACAGCGTGTGTGCTGAAATTGGAAGAAAAGCTATTTCCAGATTCTGCCAGCTGGTCTCCTTGTTGCTTAAGTTGGAAACAGAGTAGGGAATGGAGAAGCAATGGAGGCCATTTTAGGTTTTAGTCTGCCACCCTTTCTCGCTTGTACTCTGGCTCTACTCATAACTGGGGATTATAAGAGAGCCTCTTGGGGTGAATGCACATACTAAGTCTTTGCACAGAAAGGGTGCACCTATCGTGGGAGCATATTAGATGCTTGACATTAAAGGATAGTGATGTCGTGACTAAATTTGAGATAGTAGGTTCCCAATCAAACACTGCGGCAATGCAATTGCAACGTGAGCAATGAGTGGGCTCTGCTAGGGCTTTTCTAGGGTTGGCGATTTTGTTTTTCCTCTCCTCACCTCCGGCCGCCAAGGCCGTTTTTCCGCCTCCTTCTCACTATGGAGCTGGATCCTGCGATATTCCCACCTCTTAATAGCGCTTCGGTGCTGGGAGCTCCTCCATCCTCTCTTCCCACTTCCTATGCTGATAATCTCTCAAATCCTTCCCTCAAGACTTTTGATTTCCCGATGTCTTTTGTTGCCCCTACCGAAAAACTTTCCTTCAAGGCTCCAGATTTCACGGAGGGAGCTAACATCTGGACGCATACGTTGGTTGGTTACTCTATCGGACAACGCCCCTATTATGAAAGGCTCCTTGCTGCGATGAACAAGGCCTGGGTTTTGAAAGGTTCCTTCTCTCTTCTGTCTTTGGCGGACGGTTTTTTCCTCCTCAAATTTACTTCTTCAGAAGACATGGAAATGGTTTTCTCCGGCGGCCCGTGGTTCCTTTTGGGTAAGCCTTTTGTGTTGCAGAAGTGGAATCCGAAATTCAAACCCAAACGAGATGAATCCGCTGCAATTCCCATCTGGATAAAGATATTGGATCTTCCTCTTGCTTTATGGACGCCATCAGGTATCTCTAAAATTGCAAGTTATATTGGTGTCCCGATATCTGTAGATGCTCTCACTGCTAGAAGAACTCGTTTGACTTTTGCTAGAGTTTGTGTCCAAATTAACAAAAATTCTACTTTACCGGACGAAATTCCGCTTGATATGGATGACACCAAAACAAAGCAGCAGTTTTTCTTCCCCATTGGCTTGATTTGGTCAGTAGGTCCGCCTCCATTTCATCGAGCTGCTGTATATTGCAAAATGTCGGCCATCTAGCCGGTGGAGTGTCAAAAATCCAAACATGTATAATTACATTGATATATCTACCATATTTGATCTTCCAATGTATAAGGCCATCAAGGTGCTTGCGCCATCTTTAATAATCTGCCATGATTTGGAGTCTGACCGAGTATTTGTGCTTGCCAGGATTAGTTACATACCTTTCGTTAAGGAAAATATGCAGTAAAGAGTTGGAATTGCTCAAATAATTCCATGCCAACCTGGCTCGGAGCGGTCCTTGCCACACAAAAGGTGCATGGAAACCCATTCCACCAAGTCTAGTTGGTTTGCATTGTCGCCCCAAGCCACATAGTGAGCCTTTGTTTCCATCTTATCCACGTGTAGGCTACCACTAAGACCATTGTGGTAGTAGCTGAAGCAGGCTGTGCTGACCAAATTTGGCATTAGTTGAATATCATAATCTTATTTATTGGCTCAACTTGTCATATATATTATCACATTATTAATTTTCAAAAAACCATTTGAAACTTCTCGTTTAAAGTTTAAGCTAATTGATATCTTCCGATTAGTGTATCTTATTTCTATAAACTTACCTCAGTTCAATTTCTTTATACCATGTATCTTGTATTGATATTAATGGATTGCATTTATTTTTGCTCTTAACTTTTTTAAATAACCATGCAGGTGCTTTTTTTTAGCAAAGTCCTACAGTTTTGCTGGTAAAAGGGCTGAAGCCTATGCATTATTTCGCCATGCTGGTAATCTTGCAGATGAGGTTCTAAAAAAGCTCCAAGTTGCAACTAATCCTGATCAGGTACTTGTCAAGTTAGGTCTCATCTGTTTCACCTTATTACTTTTGCCTTCTTTTTTATTGCCGAGCAATTTTTTTAGCATTTGCAGATGGCAATTGTTAGTTTCTAAACATTAGCTATGTCAATCAGGAAATATTATGTAAAGATCCCTTTGTATATTACCTTAATTGCATGACTGATAGTTTTCTATTTGAGGTTTTCCAACAGGCCCTAATCAAGGATCTTAAGATCTTGTCGGACAATTGTAGATCAAACTGCTGCATTGAGCACGCAACAGGGATCATGGAGGAAGAGAAGATCCCAGAGAAACTTTCCAAAGGTGTCTCGACTATGTCATTAGCAGGACCAGAAAAGAAGGTACAGTATAACGGATAGTTTGTGTTTTTTCTTTTTTTTTTAACTATTTCACGTTGCGCAACAAATGAGTAATACTCACATGTTTTTCATAATACTTAAGTTAAGTGTTACAGAGATGAGGATGCTTAGGTGGATGAGTGGCTTTACCCTTAGAGATAGGATACGAAATGAGCAGATACATGAAAAGGTTGGAGTAGTTCCAGTTGAAGATAAGATTAGAGAGAGTCGCCTTAGATGATTTGGTCACATTAAACAGAGGCCTTCCGATGACCCGGTTAGGAAAGTTGAGGTATTATATTTGACTTACCTTAAGAGAGGTAGAGGTAGACTTAAAAAGACTTGTCAGAAAATATTAGAAATGATATTTATTTATTAGATTTAAATGAGAATTTGACTTTTAACTGGACACAATGGCGAAAAAGGATTCATGTAGCTGACCCCACGTAGTGGAACAAAGGCTTGATGTTGTTGTTGTTGATGTTTTTCAGGAAGAAAAGTATCTCCTCGAGAAGCTCGATTTGTACGAATCAGCTATTGGCGAAGCAGGCACAAAGTCTGTTCCTTGTATCGAGCGCTTCCCTCCTCCATTCCAAGCAGTGCCTTGCAATCCTATTGTCCTTGACATTGCCTATAGTTCAATTGAATTCCCATCTTTGGAGAACAGAATGAAGAAAGACAAGAAAGGCATCTTCAGCAGGCTATGGGGATGAGAATGGCGTTTTATGATATATTGAAAGCTCTTCAGAAATGTAAGTTGATCCAACATCCTTATACCTGATTCCTTGAGATTTTTGGGTCGTTCTGATGAAAAAAGATAGATTTTTTTGCCGCATATTGAGCAGTTTGGATTGGGACGGAGCTCCATTTTATTTTGTTGTACATTGAGTTCTAAATTTCTGAGAGGCTCCTTTGATAAGAATATGAATTTACCTGCGAAGAATTCTTTTATTATGAAGTTTTTTTTTTTTTTTTTAATTATTAATATAACTAAGCTACTTGAAGATTGAGATAAGTTTTTTAATGAAATAATTAAGTATGATAAGCATAGGTGGGCCTGAGAAATATGAACTCTCCCCTATTGGGGGTGAATTTCTGATTAGAGTGGGAAAATGCTTGATCCATAATAGACTTGTTGGAAGTACTTTTCATAAAGTTGAATTAATTGAGATTCAGGCTTCGTTTGATACAGCTTTCTTACTGCTTTTGAAAGCGATTTTTTTGTACAAAAATTTTATTTTTTGAACTAAAAATTGTTTTAAGAAGCAGTAAAAAAGCTGTCCCAAACGAAGCCTCAGATGTGATTTTATAAACTTAAAAGAACATATGTACAAGAAGAACAATAGAGGATGAACAAACTTTGAATGGCCCACATATTATTGGAAAAAAACATTATTTGATTGAAAATTATCTTAGGATAAATTCTTAAAAGAGATTGTGATTTGTTCATGAATGTGTGATCATTGCATGAGAAGTGAAAGAAGTTTTTTTAAGGAACGATTGACAAGGGATGTAAATGTGTTTTTATAACTCATAATTTAATTAGGTCGGTAAGTAAACCGGTATGTAACCGGAAGAATTTTTTCCTTTATAATTTTTTTAAGCTGTTGCCTTGCAGAAAATTCTGTGCGGATCCCGGATGCTCCGGAGACTAATCAAAATGCGCAACGTTATTTGTTTGTTCAGTATCGTTGCTCGGTAACGCTCTCTGTTGGGTGACGGGCGCGTTCTATTTGGTTTCCAGACCGTCCGGTGTCAGCACAAAATAATCTGTTTGAGTTTTTTCATTTTATTTTTTATCAAGTTATTTGAGTTTTAAAATTATGTTTAAATTTATTTATTAATTTTTAATAAAGATAAAATTATATTTATTGATTAATTTGTATAGAGTTTCAAGTCATTTAATAGAGCCTAACTATTTTTATATATGATATTAATGATTTAAATAAATAATTAAATTATTGGTTGTGAATATATTTACATTTTTCTATCAAAATTGGCATAATTCAGTTGATATCATTTTTAATAATTTATTTTAGTATATCCTTCTACTATTTTTATAATATTTTCATTAACAATTATATAAATAATACAATAGTATTTCTTTTAATCTATAAATTTAGTTTATTTTTTTCTTTTTTTTCATTATATATATAATAGTTATTTAATAGAATATAAATTAAATTTATGATAATATTTTTATTTTTAGTACAGATATTAAAATAAGAATGCAAATTACAATAAGCAGGATTTAGAAATAGGCCAATTTTAATAACTGTCAAATAACAAATTTAAATATTTTAAATTACTCAAATTCTTATTTTGTATTTCTTTTGCCACATATCAAATACGATTAAAGAACATTCAGGAAATAGCTAGACTTATATATTTTTTTGGTGATCTTTACCTGAAAATGCTAGAGAAAATCTTAGCCAATATACCTAATATTTTTCTTTAATATCAATAGAAATGTAAAATGTTCAGTTAAGAACCCTTATGATTACATTAGGGGGTGTAAACGAGAAGAAATGGATATCTGTCTTATCGAGCTAAATTTATTTTTCTCTTGCTATGCTCGAGCTCCTCAAGCTCGTTTATTAAGCTCTTGCATGACTAATTGTTGAGCTCAACTTTTTTAATAAAAAATTTAGTTATTATTATTATTATTTTTTTAATATAAAATTAATTTAAACTTATTAAAATATATTTTATAATACTTATTTAAATTAATTATTAAATATATTTTAATTTAATTGAATCGCTCAATGAGCTTTTGAGCCATATTTAGGCTTTGAGCTTGAGCCGGGTCGATCGGCTCACTTAAACCCCTAAATTACATTATGATTCTTGCATTACCCAATGAGAACAGCTCACGATTCTTTACATAACCAAATAGAAAAAATAATTCCCCTACATTTACTTTACAAACAATTAAGCCTCTCAAAATATTTACTCTACACTACATTTACTTCACATTTCATTCACTTTACCGCCAATCAAACAGCCTCCATATGCACGGCAAATTATTATGTCTGGTGTCCGGATTCATCCGGACACAAATCCAGACGCATCACGTCACCAAAATGCATCGGGACCCAGTGTATTCGAGTGACGTGGCGCATCTGAATTGGGTGACTGGACGTAATAATTCGCCCATAAGCACAACCAAAACAAACTAAGAACAGTGCAAATTTTGTATTTTCGCTAAAGTCCTTGTGATTGCCTCATTATACATGAAATGCAAGGAAGATAAAAGTGAAAGAGCAAAAACTCTAGTATACTATTCATATTAGGAGATATAAGTTAGTAAATAAGCAAAAAAAGCATAGAAAATAAATCATGAACATCAGTTATTCCACTAACCAAGCCTTTACATCTGCAACTACAATTAAGCTCAGCTCACTATGGCAAAACTCAATTAAGCTACACTGTACTGTGGAAATCTACATGTATTAAACTTACATTACCTTATTAATGTGGTTATTTCAATAAAAAACTTGAAAAAAAAAAAAAAAAAAAAAAAAAAAAAAAAAAAAAAAAAAAACTTGGCTGCATTCGTTCCCTGATCCCATTACAAAGAAGAGAACGCTTTTGTGAAATTATTTGGAAAAAATTATAAGCCGGCCTTGCTTTTATTTCTTCCTTCACATCGAGTTTTTCTCAATTCTAACACTTTTGTGAAATTACCTGCGGATGTCTGAATTCTCATAGTACCTAGACCGAGCTTCATTGATGGAGGCCTGTAGAGCTTCATATTTAACAAGTGAGGACTCCGCAAAAGACTTCAACCGATCAAAGAAGACAACTAGACCAGACTGTAAACTATCATAGTTCAAGCTCCAATCAACAGAAACTTCATTTTTCTCAATCTCCTCGTACTGTTCGCCACCCTTGAAACTTCTTGAAAAAGAAAAGGTGGATATCAAGCTACCTTTGCCTTTTTCTGTGTGAGGCATGAAGAGAGCTGTGACTTTAGTGAGATCACTTATGGCATCTTCCACTTGTTCTACATCTAACTCATCCATTAAGGCTAGCCAGTCTCGGCAAGTTACAAAAATTGGTGGAGCGATGTCAGTTCTTGGTGAGAATTGCCTTCTCCTCGAAGATTTCTGTTTTGGCGCAGGAGGCATGAGGACACATTTGAGAAGCCAGTTGTTTATGGCATGCAAATAGGATTTGTGTGCTGCAATCCATTTGGTGAAGCTTGAGCATAGAGAGTTCAGCTCAAACTGGACAAGCATGGTTGCCTGTCGGTGGGAATCAGAATGCACTGAAACTTTACAGCTGTTCTTCTTGCTTGCATCTGAGATGATTTTATGCTGGTTTTTGTGGCACTCTAGCATCATTGCCCACATTCGAGTTAATCTATGTTGGGACATTGGAGAAAAATGTTAGGTGATTTGAAACTGGTGATTTGAAACTGTAAGATAATTTTAACTGTAATGGGAGTCAAATCAGAAATTTAGCCAAGTAAAAAGAAATCCAATCACCATCTATGTTGCACGGATACTCCTATTTACGAGGCGTGCTGTATCGGACACGTGTCGGATACGCATACGCCTCCGATACGGCACGGATACGTGTCAGATACGGCAAAGCCGTATCCAATTAAAATACTATTTAAATTTGACTGGACACGCGTATCGGATACGCGTGTCCTATTAAAAAAACGGAGCCGCAATTTACCCTATTCTTTTCGGCTTTCCACCGTTTCCGCTCAATATCCATATTCATTTATGCGGCTGAAACATTTCAAAGAGATAGGTTTTTCGTTTCCACACAAGTGTTCATCTTCTTCATTATAGTTGAAGGAGCGGCTCGATGACGCGAGCATAGAAACAAACAGGATCATCCTTTGTCGACAAAGAGGCTTGACGACGCGAGCATTAAAGTCGATAGGATCATCCTTCGTCGACGGAGCGGCTCGACAACTCGAATAGTGAAGGCAACGTGAGCAGTGAAGGTTCGTTTCTTCTTCGTGCATGAATCGTTTTCTTACAATCATAGGCTCGGTATCGAAACTCGGTATCGCTTGAGGGTACCCGAACAGGTAACTGGGAACTCGGAGTAATTATGCTCACGGTACTGCTCGGAAAACACGAGCAGCAACTCAAATCTTTCATTAAAAATCAGAACATGGTGACGTGAGAACTCGAAGAGTATCGCTCGGTATTGGAACTCAGTATGCTTCGGTACTGTAACTCCGGATTGCCGTGGTACGACGGATAAATTGAATCTCCTGTTTACCCGTACCGGTCGTATTGAAACTAATCACGTACACGTCTCGAATGGCCAAACTCGGTACCGCTCCGGTATTGCTCGGCACCTGCTCGGTATTTGCTCGGTATTGCTGCGTAATAGAGGAGTACTGAATGTACCAAGCAAGGACAACGAGTAGCACGTAAAACATGTCGGAGTACCAGCTCAGTATCCCTCTTATCATAAATATAACCTGAAACTTACCAATAAACAACAGCACTTCAAAAATTTAACTCTTACGATATTAAGAAAATTTGTTTCGGGCGCTAGCCCCTAACCCGCGGAACCTGACCGAACGCCCGCTCAGGCCGGGCAGTAGCCCCATTGACCCCGGTGGGAGCCTGACCACCCCCCCCCCCTCCCTCAGAAAATAGTCGCAAAAGACCCACCCTATTACACTTTCCACTAATAATTTTCATGTATTACAATTCATAAATGTGTTTAATTTGTATAAATCTTTTGTAGATTAATAGCTTCTAAAGTGGAGTATGATGGAAATAATTCTTAGATGAATGGTCCGAATCAGGAACATCAATCATTGAGATAACCACAACTCTCTATGAGTATGTTAACAAAAATAGGATAAACAACAACAGAAAGGGAAGGATATAGGGCAATATTGCATAAACCAAATGCAATTTTGTAATGCCAACATACGAGATGATGATCTAGTCCATCAATAGAGTAAAAGCTCATTTTGTGAAGATTAGTGGTCATGGAATCAAAGTTTGTCCAAATAAGGTCATCACAAATGGAACTGAATTACAAAGAAAAATACAGTCTGTGAAAAATGAAGCAAAGGAGTAAAAAAGAGCCCAAAACATATTCCACTTCCAAGCACTCATGCTTCATATCCTCATCATCTTCGTCAATATAGATTGATGACAGTACAGTTAAATAAAGGGTCTTTTCGAATGGAGGGATTTGTAATACAAAAAACAGAATGAAAAACATGTTGTAATAGTGCCTTTGCCAGAAAAGAATTTAATTTACAAATGAGAGAGCAACTAGACGGTGAAATAGCTAGAATGTTTACTCAGCTGGACTTTCTTTTAACCTAGCAAGGAAACCACATTACATGAATTGCCTTTTGCATACTGTGGGCTCCGAAAATTCGTCCCGGCCCCGCTCGCTTTCTTATTCGGCGAGGGAGTTTTAACAGACTAAAGTTCCGCAGGTAAATTTTGAAGGCAGATGGGTTTGTAGATAAGACACTACCAGAGATTTCGCCCTCATTTTGTGAGGATTTATAATCTGAGTTCTGGTTTCCTATAGGCGCAAGCCCCTATAGTTAATTACCCCTCCGATCACGAGAGAGAACTTTCGATTAAGGCTAGTCGTAATCAGATCGTAAGAAATACGTGTTATCTGGCATATAGTAGCAGCAATGGTTTGGATTTGGAGAAATTAGGATTTGGAATTGGGTTTGATATTGGGAATTGGAAGGTTTGGAGTAGATTTAATTAAATTAAAAGTTAGAAATTCACGCATCTTGCACTAAGCTGATGGTGGGAATGGATGAGGACTCCGATCAAGATCCCATGTTCCGTCATCCCGGTCATCGTGGTCCTGTCTACTTAGTCAGAGGAGGTAGTCGACCCAACCTGACAGAAGGATCCTGTCGCAGCCATGGGTTGCTTCGTCCAAGGGACCTTGTAGACCGGTTGGTGTTTGTCTAAGGGACAAATTTAAATCACTTAGCTGGCAGAGGGCTTTGTGCCCTATCGATCATATCCTATTGATTCATATCTCAAGGATTTAACGCCATTAAGGAGCGTATTGGCTCTGGCCATAACCGCTACTGTGGTGCCATTTGGCGGCAAAACCACTCGTTCAGAGGGCCCCGTCATAACGTTTACCTGCAGTGCCATTTGGCGGCGAAACTGCCGGTTAGAGGAACCGTACCACGTCCTTACTGCAAAATTGTTTGAGAATGGATCCTAGTGTATATTTTCACTAGCATTTAGCTCTTTGTGAGCATAGAGTAAATTTTTAATTTGTCACCTCGGCAAATACTTGCGGAGGTGTCGATGGATTTTGCTATTAAGTGATTGATGGATTTATTTCAATTTTAAATATTTTTTTTGAATTTTGGATTTTGTGGAGTTTTTTTGGTTTTTGGATTTGTGAAGTTTTTTGATTTTTCTGGATTTGGTGGAGTCTTGAAGATATTTGGAATGGACTTTTGGGAACATTGGAAAATATTTGGGAACCCTCCGGTTGAGATCTGATAATCAACACGGCCATCATCGGGGTGTTTGGGAGTCATTTCTAGTTATAGGATTAAACCTTGTCAACTCTGTCGGCTGTTGCAGAGAGCGGGTTTTGTAGGCTTTATTGCCTTGAAGTGAATTTCTTTTGATTTAGGCTTTGAGAGAGCCCTGATATAGAATGTATTAAAACAAATATATCTGGTCGCATAACCATAGTATTTGTTTTAATGAGTTCGAACCCTGTCGATTCCAGCTATTGATCCCGATATAGAGGAGAATGTTTACGAACCTGAATTCACTTGTAAACCCTGCGCAGCATCCCTAACGTCACGTGTACCTACAATACAAACGCTCGCCGGGCCCATTCGGGTATAGATATATTTTTACCCCTTGTGTACCTATTGTGTATACATAACTACGTGCACGTGCAGTGGGGTATTTCTTGGAATAGACGCCTTCTGTCTGCTTTACGAATGTTGCAGATCCGGGTGGGTAACGTAGCGCTTTCTGGAATAAAATTGTTCTCTCTGCTTTCGTACAGGTTAGACTGTCGTGCTACTATTATTGATTTTTGTGGTGGTGTCATAGTGCACTAACGAATCTCCTGCGTTTGGCCGTAGGAGCTTGCACTTTGTCAGTATTCCTCCATGCATTTTGGTTGTGTGTCTTTAGTTTTTCAGTGTCATCGCTACTGCTTGCATGTAGGTATAGGGTGGATTGGTCTTCCTTATATACTGGAATTGACGTTCAGGATACTGCATTTACTAAAAGTCCTTCTGGCAAATCTGACCAATATAGAGGCTATTATATATGACATACAATCAGATTCTGTTTAGAAGAGAATTATGTTATTTGCAGATCTTTGTCGTTATCCGAACATTTGGCTTTGTTAAATCAGCTTGTCTATTCTCACCATCCTCTCTTATCACTTGCAATAAAGATTAAGCCTTTGCAAATTCTTTTCTTCTTCAAAGATAGTATAATGCCTGCACTGATGAGTAGTTGAAATCTTCAGATTGAAATAATATGAATGAATACTCATTGAAGACTTGTAAGCTAAATGAAGATATTTATTGCCTCTCTCCTACTTATGATGCCTTGTTACAATTGGTAAGAAATTTCGACTTAAGATTATGAGAAGCTAGTAGAGAATTAGTCCATCCTCTAAGTCATTGCTTGCAATCACTCTTCATTTATAGGTTATGTTATTATTTAGCGATATTTTGCATTCTAATTAGCATGAAGGTTCTTTCCACATTCGATTTTGTAGAGTTCATATTTTGATGCAAGTATATGTTGGTTGGAATGGAATGTAGGAAATTCATTGAAGTTCTTTTCATACATTCTTCTTTTGCATTTTGAAGGTTGGTAGCTCCACCTATAATAGGTTAACATCATTTGAAATCCCCCCTCTTCAGTCATCATCAAAAATCAAATCCATAACATCTAACTTGAGTTTTTTCTATGTTCAAGCTTTGCTCTCAAGTTTTGAGTTCAAAATGATTTCAAATTATAGAAGCTCCGTTTGAGCAATATGAGTTCTCATCATCCAAAAGCCTGTCGTTATAGTTCAAAAATTTGGGCCAAAGGTCTTAACTTGCCAAACCTCATGTTTCATGCTTCAATTATTTTTTGGCGCCTTATGCTCATTTGGATCCAAATTTTTTGTTTTGTTCCCCAAAGGTTTTTTTTCTTTTGTGTAGTTTCATGTAAGTCATTTGTTCATTGTTAATTTAGCCTGCCGAAAAGATCTATGTCATTATCTTTACTTAGTATTGCAACAGATCAACGTTCAATAGTTGAACTTATTCATTTAAATTCTAAGTTAATTTTGTTTAATGCATTAATTATGTCTATTAGATGTAAACTAGCTCAACTCAGTCTTATTGATGGTTGAGATTATAAGTCGATGTCTTTCTCACTGGTTCAACCAATTCGAGCAAGCTCTCAGAGTGGTCTTTGTTCTATTTCAGTTAAATATATTGTCCACAGTCCTTCTTGAGTCCTTTGGTTCCAATCAAATTATCGCTTGATGTTCCTCACCCTTTCTTTTATTGGATTCAAGTTTATTTAAAGTCTATATTGGTTAAGCCTTTTAACAAAAACTTCTCATTTGAACTTCCCAAGATCAAAAAATGTGTGTCTGATAATGATTTACCATCAACAACAACCCTTTCGGCATGACCATACCCGGTTCCGCTCCAATCTCCCCAATTAAGGGGATCAAAAACCAAACCGACCAGAGCCGCTACCCGCCACTCACCATTAAATGACGTTGACATATCACAAAGGTTGAATTAAGGTGAAAAGCTTCGGTAGGACACACGCCCAGGCTCGCCTGTCAATTTTACAATTTTCTCCCCACAGTAAGCAACACGCCGCAATAAAAGGCGTGCATGGGTTTTTATAAAAAGCATTTTTGTTGATAAGCAATTTTATCCCCCCGCCCGGGGTTACTTATGAGTGACCCGCGTCGCCGTACGTGTTTTTTGTGTATTTTTTTTTTTTAGCATTAAAAAATATTTAAATTTGTTATGTAATTTCTAATCCGAATTGGCTGTCCCGCACCGGATTCTCTATCTACCACGGCCAATAAAGGCGGCTTAGGGACAGTTCTCCAGTTTGCCACGGATATTGAAGCAATATAGATAGAAGTAAGAACCCCATCAAATGTACTAAATGTCACCCTGACATTGACAAACTGCAAACTAATGGTATGCATAATAAGGAAAAGGACAAGTAGTGCCCAAAGGTTTATGTGCATAGTATTAGAAATCCATACCGCTCGAGGTTGTCGTGGTTGGACACGTGGATCGAGGGTACACTCGCTCTAGCCTCGTCGTAGGGTGTCGCACCGGGTTCCCTCCTAACACGGGGCCACCTAAAGCGTGCTTATGGTATGCCGTCGCGACAGGAACGCCGAAGAAAGAGATGAAGGGGGGAGCATTTTATTTTATTATTTATTTGCATAATATTTATTATTAATAACTAATTAGAATTAATTATATTAACTAATATTTACACTCTGATAGTTCCAAAGAATGAAACACATTAAAACCCTTAATAAAATAATACTAAAAGACGCAATAATCATAATTAAAGTAAATTAGATAATGATGGAGATAAATATCATAATTAAAAACTAATTATAATTACGGAAAATTATTAATTAACAATTAAATAATTAATTAAAATTAATATGAGAAGTATTAATTAATAATTATAACTAAAGTACTGATTGAATATTAATTAATCAGATACAACCACCTAATTAACATAATTAACAAACGTGTAAACTTCGATAATTAATTGTATCCTTATATTGCCTATTAATTAATAACTAATAATAATAATATAATAATAAAATAAAATAAAATAAAAAAATATAATTCCCTCCCCCATTCCTCTCTGGCTCACGGGAATGCCACAGAAGCGCGGTGAACAGGAGACTTTACCTTCTCGACTAGCGAAGCTCGCCCTTGTTTTTGCTCAAAAATGTCGTACTTCCAACCCGACAAGAAGGGAACGCCGGAGATGAGCGAAGCCGGACGGAGGGAGTTCCGATGCGGAGGAGGTCGACGTCGTCGCAGGGCTTCCGATCGCTTCGGTTAAGGAAGAATGCAGCTCTCTCCTCTCTCTGTTCGGCTCGGCCGAGAGGTCGGAGATGAAGAGGACGTCCATAAAGGATCCTTCGACTGAAAACTGGTCCATCGGCATGAGCCTTGGCAGTCCTCGAGGAGAAGCGTCAGGGTGTAAGAGCAGTTAGTGGGAGCGAGAGGAAGGAAGGCAAGCACCGAAAAAGCCTTCAGTAGATTAACGTAAAAGAGTTTGGGCTCAAACATAGAGATCGAGTGAAATTCCCGGAAAGCTCGCAAGGAATTTCAAGCAGAGAAAATCCCGGTACGAGATGCTGAGTACGCAGTCAGGCTAGCGGAATATCAGGACTGCGGAATTCAAATACTGGCCAACGTTGAACGCGCTTCTCGACGCGAATACGAGGATTCCAACCGGCATACACCTTTAGCAACCGCCAATTTGGACGGCCAGTCAAAGGGTATTATTGCAGTTCGTTTCTTTTGGGATATGGTCAAGAGGTCCGGCCAAGACACATACGCTTAATCTTTGAACTTGTTGAAGAAACATTTTACAGCTCAATGAAAATACCGAGCAATATTGAAAGTCAACCTATAATGAATGGCAACAATCCGATAAACAGTGATTGCTGGAGATGCAATGTGTAAGTTTATGGAAATTTATGTATCGAATACACTCCAATGAGAACTCTCTTATGTTCTTATTAAGATTTCTGCTAATTAAAGATGGCTTGCTAAGTTCTTTAAAACTCGTTGTGTCCGTCAGGTTTAGTGATGTTGAGAAGATTCAAAAAATTAAAAATGCTCTTCAAGCAGTATGGATAGTGACCAAATGGTCATGTTATAAGAAGATGAAGTGTTGGAATAGGCGAAAGGTATGTAAAAGAGAAGCTTTTAGATGATTTATGGTGGGATGAGATTGAATACATCATAAATTTCACAGACCCAATTTATGAGATGTTGAGAGTAGCTGATACGGATAAGTCTTGTTTACATTCATTTATGAGATGTGGGATTCAATGCTAGCCAAAGTAAAAGAAATTATATATAGACATGAGAGGAAGGCACATCATGAAGACTCAAGCTTTTGGAATGTTATTTATGCTATTCTAGAAGATAGGTGGAGCAAAAGTAATACACCTTTACATTGCTTGGCTCACTCACTAAATCCAAGGTAAATTTTAACATTTTTTCATTTTAAATTCACAATTTGTTGTTTTGTAATTTCAACCTTTTTTTTATTATTTCATTTTAATGTTATTCGAAGATATTCAACTAAAGAATGGCTTCAAGAGGATCCTCAAAGAGTTTCTCCACATAAAGATTTAGAAATTTCAAATATGAGGAAGACATGTTTAAAGCGTTATTTTCCAAATGAGGACGAGAGAAGAAGTGTCAATATTGAGCTTGCTAAATTTTTTGGTTATTTAGAGGACTTTGGTGACCAAGAGTCATTGCGTGATAGGTGGAGAATTGATCCGAAAATGTGGTGGATTATACATGGAGCTTCAGCACCTCCACTTCAAACAATCGCCATAAAATTGCTTGGCCAAGTTTCATCCTCATTCTGTTGTGAAAGAAATTGGAGCACATACTCATTCATCCAATTAATGAAGAGAAATAAAATTACTCCACAATGGGCTAAAGATTTAGTTTATGTGCATACAAACCTTCGGCTTCTCTCAAGGAAAACTCCAACTTATATGGAAGGAGACAACAGGATGTAGGATGTTGCTGGAGATGGATTTGAATCTCTTGAGGATATGAGAATATTAGAAATTGCTAATCTTTCACTTGATGAGCTTGAATTAGAAGCTATGATATTTATTGAAGATGATATAGAAACTCCAAGACAAACCACTGAAGAAGCTAATCCTATCATTCCTTCTATTGAATAGTTGAAATTTCATGTGCTGGACAATTTATCTTCTTGTTTTTGTTGATGTACTAGACATTTAAATGTTTAATGCTTACTTTTATTTCAATTTTTTTGTCATTTCAAATATTACACTTTGATTATTTTTTTAATTTTTATGTATTATTTATATATTATAATGCCGTATCCGCGCTGTATCTGTATCTTGTATGTTTAAGAATTGGCGTGTCCCGTATCCGTATCGTGTCGTATCCGTATCGCCGTATCCGTATCGATGCAACATAGATCACCATTGAAATTACTTCAGAGGTAAAAGAACAAGAATGCAAGGTTATCTGTCTTAATGGTAATATATGCATATCTTTGCTTATAAAGAGGCTCAAAACAAAAAACAGCAGATGGATATAGCATGACTAAAACAACTACAACAAGCCTTAGTCCCACTACGTGGGGTCGGCTACATGAATTCTTTTTCGCCATTGTCCTGTTAAAAGTCAAATTCTCATATAAATCTACTAGAAAAAGATCATTTTTAATATTTTAATATTTTCTAACCAAGTCTACTAAAACAACTATGAATAATATTTTAAATATTCCTACTGCAAATCCAATCTTGATGCTAGCCATATTTTTTCCCAAAAGATGAAGCATGCTAAACAGAAAAGAAAGAACACACATGAATATGGGCGTAGAAGAGCATAAAATATAAAAAAAAAATAGTAAAGGCAACAGTAAAAATTTAAAACAAGAAATTGAAATCGAGGAAAAGTAGAGGTTGCATCAGTTAGAGAAGCACAGGGAACATACCCGCCAATCAACTCCTCTAGTTGTGGTTGTAGCTCCTTATCCCTTAACTCTTCAATTGACTTTGATATAGAGCTGATCCTATGAATGGCAACTCTAATTCTTGAGTGCAAATCCTTGACAGCAGCACGGGTTTTATCAATTTTATAGGTGCTTTCTGCTCTGGAATCTTGCAGTCTTAACATCCTGCACTTTAAGTCATACTCCCTTCGGATGAAACCACTTGCCTACAAAATGAAGAAGAATGTTGCAGTATGTGTAAAATAATCAATCATGGACAAAAATTTCATTCAACTGTTAGTGTTTCATATTCATTGAAGTTGTCTTTATCTTGTTTTGTATCTGAGATTGCATATTGACCAATTATTTGTTTCAGTTAAATAAGTAACAGTTAAATAAGTAAATTAGACGCAAACTCCTGCCATAATGCTGTGGCTCCAAAAATTCGTGGCCCAGCTTCTCCGTGTACCCCTTTCTTTTCTTTCTTTCGATTTAGGGTCGTCGAGGAGAGTTTTAAGGAGTAGGTTCTAGTGTAAATTTTTAGAAGGTATATTGGATTTTAAAAAAAAGACATTACCCAGAGATTTTGCCCTCATTTTGTGAGGACTTTATGATATTATTTCTTGTTTCCTATAGGTGCGAGCCCCCCTATGTTAATTACCCCTTCCGATAATGAGACAGAACTTTCAATTAAGGCTAGTTGTTGAACATATACAGAGTATCTGACATCTTGTCTTCTTATACAAGTGTTGCAAATCCGGTAGCACGACGTTGCACTTCAATGGCCCATGGTTTTTTTACTGATTCCCTGCTTTTGCTTACAGGTGAATCATAGCGTATCATCCAAAATAACCATGAGATACTTCATTGTTCTGATGCAAGCTCTAGCTTCTCATTCTTCGAGAGATCAGATCCAAGAATCATCTAGCATTTGCTTAGACCAGAAGAGGACATCCAAGTTGCATAAGATCGTTTTGTGATAGATAAAGTATCAGGATCTGATGAGATCAAATGCTCGACTGATGTGCTATTAGATTTCTTTATCATCACTGCTTGTGGACATTTGTAGGGAATATTATCATTTGCAAGCTAGTTTAGTATGTTAGCATGTTGATGTAGACTACTAGTTGAGTTGCATTTATCATTGGTTCCTTGTGCATGTTGGTCGACAAGTTATTATTCAACACACATTTGTACCTTCTAATTGCAGGGTAATATTGATATGAGCATTACATATTGATCTCTTGATCCTATCTTGTGATGGATCAATGTATTTGTCTACTGCTGAATGGTTGTTGACTATAAGACAATATTGCATTCACTGTCTATCGTTGATCATTGCCCACATGTATATATATTGTGCATACGACAAAACTTCCATTACTAGTAGACATTTTCATTTGCCATGATTTTCTATCTCATGCCTATTGAAGATCCATCACATTGGCGGTACATTCATCATCATTGTTTGTAGATAGGATTGTTGTATACATTACAAACTCTCCGTTGTTGTATGTGGGCGGGGTCAAGTTGTGTTGAATGCAATTCTTCTTATGCTACTTGTAGGTGTTTGCATTTATCATAGTTCTTTTGCATTTTACTTGCAAATAGCATGTTGAATGTAAAACGGGCCTCCTGCAGCGGCTTGTAAGTGTTCGCATTTGTTGCATATCATTTGTCTTTGCTTGCGGGGAATCAGTACATTTGTCTAACATTTAATGTTGGTTGACTGCAAGGATGTCGTAGCACCCATTGCATGTTGCTGGTTATCACTGCTGCGCATACGGCAAATATTCCATCAATACTAGCAAGTATTCACATTCATCTTGCTTTACACTGTGTGCATTTGCAAAAGGTTTTATTGTTTGTAGGCAAGTTGTTACATATGCTGCCATTGCTCATGAACAAGTTAAGGTACTTATTTGTCTGCTAGCTATGATTGACTGCAAGCAGGATTATATACTCATCTGCATGAAACTTATGCATTGGCTAGATGTTTGATTGTCCTTGACTATAAGGACATCTTTACAATCATTGTATATCCAACATGTTCATCTGCATGCTACTGTTGATTGCTAGTAACATGCATTTATCTCTGATTTCCCTACACTTATTGATTGACGAGTTGCTACGCTCACTTGTATATCTATCAATATTGTCCTTGGCTAGAAGGACATCTTTACAATCATTGTATATCCAACATGTTCATCTGCATGCTACTGTTGACTCCTAGTAACATGCATTTATCTCTGATTTCCCTACACTTATTGATTGACGAGTTGCTACGCTCACTTGTATCTCTTTTATTTGCGGTAGCTGCTGCACGTACATAATTTACATATATGTTTAATTTGTTCATTTATATGTTACTGTTGGTTGCCAGTGTGCTATATTCATCATTATCCCTCCTGCTTGCAGGGTACTATTCATGTGAGTATTGCACATTAATTACTTTATATTTACTTCTACACAAATTGTGCTTGAAATTTCATCTGTCACAAGTTCCCTGCTTATTCATCCATGTTCATTTAAATGAATTGCTATTTAGTATTTACATTTTAAATATTACTGTGCATTTTATAGTTTATGGTCCAGTTCCCTATTTGTTCAGTTCATGCTCTATTCCATGGTTTCATTCAAATCCCTTATATTGTTGTTCAAGTTAGATCCTCTATGAAATTTCAGCAACAATCCAGCGTCTCCCATATTTATGAAAATTTGGGGAGCTGAGCCTTCCTACCACTCTACGAAAAACGTGTATAGAAGATGTCGAGCAACACCGCAGCTGTGGTCTTCAATCCCACCATACTAAGAAAAGCGTATATAGGTATTCAGAGGTACCTACTTGAAATGCACGGTTTCTCCCTGCAGACATTGAAGCTCGTACACGGGTACTTAAAATTATTCCTGCCATGCTAAAAAAGCATATACAAAGCCCATCCGCCTCGCCACAAGTGTCGCAATGGGTTCCCGCCTACCACGCTATGAAAAGCATGTATAACTGGTTTCTCAATGTGCCACGAGTGCCAAGGACAGGATTTCAAGTTTGAGGGACTATACCTTGGCGAGGGGACGTCAACGGTGCTGTCGGCATTGAAGGTGACAACAATGCACGAGAATCAAGACATAAAGTTTTTTCTCATTTTCATTATTTTATATTATTATTTTCATAATAACAATAATAATTATTATTATCAATTATAATTAACTATGATTAATTACAATTAATGATAATTAATTATAAATAGTTACCATTAATGATAATTAATTATGATTAATTATGATTAATTAAATATAATTGATTATCATTAATCATAATCAATTATAATAAATGATAATTAATTAATAATAATTTATGGTAATGAATTTGTAATTAATCATAATTAATACTTAATTATAATTAGTATTAATTAATTATAATTAATCATAATTAATGACAATTAATTATAATTAATGAAATAAGTAATAACAAAATACCATCTTGATCAAGCTAAGGTCGGCACAGGACGCTGTTCAACCTTTTTGAGCTCGGTTTGGTTGGCACAAGCAGAGAGGGAGGCGACACAATGAAGCTTGCAGCCGAGCTAGGTATAGTTGCAGACGATAGGTAGATCAGGACTTGGGGTTGAGGAAGCGTCGGATCGGGCCATTCGTTCTGGTATGAGTTGCAGGCGACAAGAGGTAGGGAGATCGTGAGTTTTGGTATGTGCAACTAGGTTTGGAAGTTGGGTTTGACAGTCAGTCGGCACAAGGGAATCGGTGTATGGGTCCAATTGACAAAGTCAGATGAAGAGGCTCCTAGCTCAGAAGGCTTCGATCAACTTTTCAATCAGGCTGGAGCGGATTGACATGCGATCGAGTGGCTCCTTAATCAGGCCGGCTGCAGGTTGCGAGAAGAGTCCGGCTATAAGGTATTACGGGAAATGCTCAGCATAGTGAAGGGCCGAGTACAGTCGTGGGATCCGATTGCTATGAGCTGGATTTGGCGGTAGGAAGAGCCAAAAAGCTAAGGGGAGTCGGGTCTCACGAGCTAGGGCGGAGGCTTCAAATATTTGGGGATGATCGAAAGAAGTCGTGCAGGAAGAAGAGGGACGAGAACTTCAAACAGGGTGACGAGGACTGGTGGATTGACTGGTGAATCGAGCAGCTGTGTGGATCAATTGTCAAACAGCGAAAGAGATGAGAGTAGGAAAACTGTTCAGGAGGGAGATCGGACAAAGAGGGAGTGAGCTCATGGAATCGAAGGAGAAATAGGCGTTTGAGACTTCACACTCATCTTAACAGCGAGCAAACAGCCACAATCAAGACGAACGTTGGGCGAAAAGGATGAGTTGTGCTCGTCGTCATCGTGGGGAAATTGTGTTAAACACGTCGTCGCCGGCATCCTGATGGTACTCATTTGAGGCTTTTGATTTAATTTTCTGTTGATTTTTAATAATAATAATAATAATAATAATAATAATAATATTATTATTATTATTATTATTATTAAATAGTGATAATAATAATTATTAAAATGACAGAAATCAGAACGTGGACTTTTGCCTCGATTTTCATGCAATGTTCTCGAAATATGTGCGTCGTTGCTTCGGGATATGCGTCAATTTCGTCACGCAATTTTCGTTGAACTAAATTATTCAAACGCAACGGGGAAGTCCATTTTGCGATCAGACATCATTTAGGCAATGTTGTGCGTCATTTTCGGGCGTCGGTCGTTGATTTTGACCGGTCTCATCCGATTCGACTGCGAGGTGGTCCCACTTAGGCGAATTCGAAACTCTTATCTCAACAGCACAATCTGTTTGACAATCAAAGGTTGCTTGACCATTCAACTGACGTGCCACACCGACATGCTAAAATTGCCAATTTTGCCTATTTTTCATGCGTATTTCAATGTCGGGGTCAACAAATGCAAAGCTGATCAGGATCTGGAGCTCAGGATACTAACAAGATCATATCCCTAATCAACTTCTAATTATCAATTAAAAACATAGTTAATTGTTTGGCCTGGCTATTCAGAAAAGGGGTGACAGGCAATCAAAATATCATAACGCGTATTTTGATTCCATTCATCTATAATTTTAATGAGTGAGGGATCAAGACCATGCCACATGTAAACAAAAAGGAATCACCAGTTGATTCAGCCGATATCAGTCATATAAGAGATATTAGTCACAAAATCTAAGAAAATTACTAGCAGATAAAATATTCTCGGCAATTTGCTTATCTATTGGATTGATCAAGCCATGCAAATATTTCTGAGCACTAGGAAAATGCTTATGGACTGTTAATAGGATGTTGACATATGAAATCCATGAATGCTACCCAAAGAAGAAATGGGTAACAGAAGGTTTTTTCAAGCTAGGAAAGTTTACCTTAACTTCATCATAAAGTTTTCTTTCCCACGCATACAACCTATCCAACGTGGAGGCATGGCTGCCTGAATTCATGCATGTGCTGCCAAAAAGATTACCGCTCAAATCATCAGCATCATCTTTTGATGCTGTACCAAAAGGAATTCTCGATGAAGAAGACCTCGATGACATAGAACCATGCCATGTTAAGTATTTCATCTCATTTGATAAAGGAACTGTAAGTAACATCAAATAAATAATTTAGGCGAGTGAATAAACTTTTGAACAATAATCACTCTAAGTAGTTTATCTCAAATGACTTCATGCATAAATGCAGGTATGCATTAGCAATTCAAAGCAAAATATTCTGCTGGAAGCAAGCTACATAACAAGAGCTGTAATTCGGCCCCAATATTCATGAACAACTGCAGTTTTGATATTTGGCTCAAGTTAAACTTGTTTTCACAGAAATAAGATAAACTTAAACAAGGCAAATAAACTCGTTAATAAACGAGCTGAGCATAAACAGGGATGAACAATATTAGCACGATAATCATGATCAGTAACAATATCCCAACTATTTGGGCTATTTTTGGCTAGAATAGGAAGAGATGGACTTCACTTCTAGCCTCCAAGGAAACAGGCTGCTTGACTCTTCAAAATGCCTCACTGAACCTGAATGTTTTTTCATCAATCAAACTTTAAATGATTATCTATGATTAGATAAAAAAAAGACCATTTAAAAATAAACCTAAAATCCCGATCCTAACTCTATCTATGTTCTCAAAGCTACAGAATTCTCTAATTTTCTCTTATTTCTTCTTACATCTCTCCATCAGAGGTTTGTTTCCAATCATTGTGCAGTTTAGCTCGAAGCTAGTGAGTTGAACTTGAAAACCATATTCTAAATTTTTTTAAAGAAAACCCAACTCGCATTAAACTCCATAATCAACAAAGCGGACCAAACAGGGCATGGGCACTAACTCATTCAAGTTCAGCCTACTCTACACTTCAATGCAGCAATTGAACGGTAATGATCCTAAGTCAAAACTAACATTACACTACAAGTCAAGCATGTCCATCGAGCAGGCATTAGTTGCCAATTAGTTGCACGCCTATGTACAACGGGTTCAAATAGAATAAAGCTTCAAGCATAAAAAAGATGCGTGCAGGAAAATATAGCAACTTTATTAACAAGATGAAAAGGAAAACTACCTTGTGAGAAATGAACTTCTTCCTTGCCACAAGTAAAACAAGCTGTAAGAAATGTAGATGCCTTCCACTTGTGAGCTGCAACAAGAAAATGAGACAAATTGGTTATAAATATAGACACTTCACAAAGAAAGTTGTGTTCAAACTTTATTGATATTCCTAGCAATACACCCATTCTCAGGTCAGTTTTGGTGGTTCTTCCTCTCTTTTCCTCACTGCATTCTATGCAGCAACTTTCATTTGGAAGGAAAGACAATTTGGAATGTCATAAGTGAAATTGTCCCCTCCCTCTATGACGCTTGGATTGTTATGGGGGGACTTAAGAAAACTGAAGGTAACTCTATTCCTCCTAATAAATTTGTTGACTTAATTACATCATTTATGACGCTGGTCTAGCTGACATCGATTCAATAGGCCAGAATTTTTCCTACTTTAACAACAAGCTTAATTTTTCCATTAGAAACAAATTGGACAGGGCTCTTGATAACGCCGATTAATTGGATTCCTTTACCACTTTAACAAAAAGCCTAATTTTCTCATTAAGACTAGTCAAATCTGAAAAAAAAAAATCCAAAAAAGAGACTATTTTTTATCATATTATAAGAGGGATGAGGAAAATTGGACATATTTATGTTCTGGTAATAAAATGAAGTAGTCTAGTGACCATTTTGACCTTTTCTCAACTTATTTATATGCAAAGCTTGATATTAAAAGGTTCTCAACTATGTTAATAGAAACTTTCTCTATCAGATGTCATTTTAAAGGAGTTTCATCCTCTTTCCATCTCTTAGATTAAGGCTTGCACCTCCAATGCCTGTTATTAATAGGAGCATGCAAAGTTTTGTTTCCACTCCCCAAATAGCCAGCATTAATTATGTCCTTCAACTCCTTACCTCCCTTGCGTTGTTACGTATGTCAGCTCTTCTTCTTTTCATAACCTTACTAACATTGGTGCTTTCAATGGTATATCCTCTCAAAATCTTAGAATTTCTCTTCTCCTTTATCCTGTTGACTTTGCTCATATTTGAGAAGGCAGAGCAACCAAAATTAATACTCTCAAAGAATATTTGGATAACTGCCATAATCTCTCTAGCTCTAGATTACTCCTCAATAAGTTTCATATACTTCTCCAAAAACACACAAACCAAATAGCCAAAATTCCACCCAAGGCTAAAGCACGATCCAAGCTCCTTTTAAATACTTGGGCGTTGGGCCTTCCAATCATTGATTCCAAACCTTTTCTCCCCACATGTTGATAAAATTCACACAATAATTGAAGGTTAGAAAGCCAAAATCCACTCCTCTATTGGCTGACTGCAATTACTGAAATTATATTTTTGGAATTTACTTAGTTACTAGGATAGATCCTCATTCCTTCCTAAGGGAATTATAAAGAAAATTGATGGTATATGCTCTAAATTTATTTATGACAGTGATCCTAACTTCAAGAAAATGCACCTTATTTCCTAGGATAAGACTTGCAACCTAAATTAAAAGGAGTCTCGGGATTCCTTCGATTCATACTCTTAATCTGGCTAGCAAAGAAAAGATTATTTGAAAATTTTTCAAATGTAAAAGCCTCTTAAACTCTTGGTGGAAGAACTCTTATTCCAACATTTGGATAAGGCATTCTGCATGGTACTTGTCATTCTGGAAAGGCATTATTAACACAATTTACAAAATCAATCCTTATCATACTTTGTTGGCATTGAATCTAATTTTTCTCTTCATCATGACTCGAGTATACATGAAAATTATTCTTAAGAATTATTCGGGCATAATGTGAGTTCCTTCATCGAGGCAAAACCAATCTCTCTCTTATCTAAAATTATTATCAACATCTCTTGGAACTTTGATAAAAATCTCCTCTACAACTTTATTTATAACACTATGTTTAGTGTCAGTTAATGAGTAATGATGCTAGTTTATAGAATGGTAAGTATAACCCTATTTTTCATGATATCAAAAATAATATTTATTCTAATTATCTTAATGCTAATTGGGCTAAGTTGATTTTCCAAAAGCATTGTTCATTAAAATTTTGTGTCTTTGATGAGTTGGCAATAAAAGTAGCTTAAAAACTACATATGGGCTTCTTAAGAATAATGTTTAGGTTAACCATAGTTGCACTCTATACATTATTTAAAATAAAAACATTAATCATTTATTTTTCAATTGTTCATTCTCCCACTACCATTTACAAATATGCCCCTTTTGGCAATAATTTTTTTTTAGATCCACTCTTCTTCCAACTAGTGAAACATATTTCTTCTTACGTGGAAGAGGGCTGACATAAAAAATTATCAATCGTGCTATTCCCTCTACGAAATTTAAAATATCAAGAGGGAGAGGAATGACAGAATATTTGGAAATATGATATCTAAATCCATTACTATTCTTCATAGAATAAATCCATTACTATTCTTCATAGAATCTTATATCATTTAAGATGCAATGGGAAAATTTTTGGGATTAGTTGATGAGACACATTTCTTTGTCTAGCCTGTTATGCATTTTGAGTCAGCTTTAGATGTTATGATATTTTGGTGAAGAATCTTCTATCCTACTATGCTCCTTTTGAATTTTATTGGTGTTTTCTTTTTACATGAATTGCAAGACCATGGTATTTGTGGTACTGACTTACTCTTGGACTATTAGAGTGATGTGTTGGTATCAGGGGATGGAATATGATTTTTCAACGTTTCTATGTTTTGTTGGTTACTCTAGATGGGGTTGTTGGATGTGGTTCTGAGGGATGGGTTCTGTTGTCCTTTTTCTAGACTAAACTGGCTATGTTTTGCATCTTCTTTTTTTTTTTTCGCTCTTTTTTTGAATGAGCATTTGGACAATGACGATTAACTAGATTTCTTATGCTTGGATCTTCTTAATGCCATATATCTACCACTCAAGCCATACTCAGCCATTCTTTTGTGCCTAAATCACTCCGCAAGTTATTTTGACTATGGTTTGATTACCTTGATAATATATGAGCTTGAGCATATACTTAATGCCCGATTCTAATCATTTTTTTATTTTTGTCATTTATCAATCCCAATGGAGTATTTTTTTCTTCATTTTTGCCTTCGAGTTATGGTTTCAGGCACTTTTTCCATAAAGCCATATAATTACACACTCCTTTAATTTATTAATTTGACCTAGACTCCTCCCATAAAAATTTTACTGACACATAAAAAAACTATAACACTTATTCTTTAATAGATAAAATTGTTCTTAACAAAATTTTGCATTAAGGTATAATTGAATTCAATATGTAGGCTTCTAGAGAACAGACCAATATGCTTTATTCAACTATTTTACATGATTAATGGGTAAAAGAAAATACTTAAACATTAAACTTATAATACTAAACTCAGTAGCCAATTAAAATCTTACCAATTTCTTCTGTAAACAATGGACGGAACTGCAATTTGTTTGCTTCTAGCATCCTTTGAACTTCTCCTCCATAGTCACCTGCCTTGACAAATAGAGTTTCAATCTCTTTTATACATGATAAGAATTCCTCATTGGAATTACTATCAGATCCATTCTCCTTCTGCTTTCCATTCATCGGAAGTGCAACTGTCGTAGAAGAGGTCCTCAAGAATTTTACAAGGGAAGTTTCTTCAATGTGATGTAAGCCAATGTTTGGCCCAATATTCTCCCCATTTTCCTCATCATTTTCAGAAGCAATGTTGTCAGCAGATGGTATAGCATTTGTTGAAGGATCAACTAACCCATCGTTGCGATTTTTATAAATTTGAACAAATGGCGCATCAGATATTTGGTCAAAATCATCTCCCGAATCCATTGAATCATGACCCTTATCATGCGATGAAGACTGCTCACCTTCATCTTCCAGTTCTGGAATGCCTTCCTCCTCACTGAGATGCCTGATATCATCTGCACCATCAAACCCATGACCATGCACCTTCCCTTCTCCAATGGAGAACTGGTTGTCTAATGGATGGAAGAGGCCAAAATAATCCCATGGTGGAGTGCCGGGAGGTGGAGCGTCAGATGAAGAGCTATCTTCTGAATGTGGTTGCAAACTTTTCAAAGGAGATGATGCTTCTACAATTGCTCTTCCTGGAGTGGGAAGCCTCTCTTCAAATGTTATTGAAGGAATCTTGGAAGTTTTCATATGATTCATATGCAAAGAAATCTCGTTTGAATGCGATCCTGAGAATCTCATAGGGGAAAAGGTTTGTACAGTTGCTTCTAGTAGAACAGGCGGTCTCTCCTCAATTGTTATTGAATTAATCCTGGAAGCTGCCATATGATTCACATGAAACCTTCCGGAGCGGGGAGGAGAATGGGTTGGAGAAAAAGGTTCATTCACCACGCCCACATGCTGTGTGGGAGATAGTGATGTGTTGGACAAGTGTGAGTTACGTTTCACAGGGAAACTATGTGGTTCACTTGCCGTAGAAGTTGAGGCATGCAGGGAAGTCTCGTCTAGGACTTCAACAAATTTCGTGAGCGCAGTTCCAGTATTTCTAAGAGAATTGACATAAGAAACATGTGCGGCACCCAACAAGAATCTTCCATCAAGAGCTTGTTTGACAAAGCGCTTCCTTTCACGACAAATTGTTAGTGCTTTGTCTTCGTCAATCTTAGAGTTTGAAACTCCCATACCTACATGAAAGAAGAACATTTTTGTTTTAGGTCTTTGGAAATAAAAGTGTTATTATCAATATTAATATTTAGTCTCTCAAAGTATCCTGTAACATGTGGTACCAATAGAGCATCTGCAGGTTTTATAGCACCCGAAATGATTTCCGAAACATGAAAATTTAAGAAACAAAAAGCAAAACTAACAAGCTAATTTAAGGACAATATCTCCATTTCATAAACACATGCCAAAGAAATCAATCAATCTAATGCCTTGCGGAAGTAGTAGCACGATTGAAGCACATTCAAGCAAACAAAAGAATTCTGATAGGAAATACTTGAAACCGAGTATTTCCTATTCACTTCTTGCAACAACTCTCCAAGCAAACTGCTGTCCGGAGCAAGAAAACAGTGAAAAACAGCGGAAAACTGAAGAAAAATTGAGAGAAAACGTAGGAAAACAATTGCAAACACTTGTATTCCACTAATAGATGCAAGATACAATTTTCCTTCAATTCGAGAGGAAGGAAAAACTCTCCAAATCTCTAACCGTAGACAAGAGCCCAAGAACACAAACCCTAGATCTCAAATCAAATTCCAATTCAAGATATCTCCCTAATTCTCTCATAACTCCCTAATTTAAGCAAAAGGAAAGATACAAATTACATAAACACCCTCCTCATTCAAAAATTCCCTCCAACGAAACGCTCCAACCCCGCCTAGCCCACTCTCTCTTCCGCCGTTTCTGCGACTGGGTTCCGCCCGGCTTTGGACCGCCGGGTGTAGAGCCGGACCGGTCCAGCTGGGACCGGTCAAAGCATAACATTACTTCCCTCCCAAAGATTCACCTTGTCCTCAAGGTGAAAGTACGAAAACTGTTGTTTCATCATCTCATAGGGCTCCCAAGTGGTCTCGTAGTCAGGGAGATCCTTCCATTTTATCAACACCTCTTTGTTTCCTTTTTTATCCCGCCTTACCCCTTCTAGCTCCATGGGTTCCATAACCACTTCCAAATCCTCTGTCAATGATGCTGGCAATTCCACACTCGCTGCATGCTCTCCAAGTGCTCTCCACAGCTGTGACACGTGAAACACCGGGTGTATGGTAACGGAGGATGGTAATTTCAGACGATATGCCACTGCTCCAATCTTCCCCAAGATCTCATAGGGCCCGAAGTACCTCGGGCCCAATTTCTCGTTCCTCCTGTTAACCACTAACTTTTGCCTGTAAGGCCTTAGCTTCAAGTATACCTTCTCCCCTACTTCATATTGTATGTCCCTCCTATGTGTATCTGCTCTCTTCTTCATGATTTGTTGTGCTCTTCCCAAATGTTTCTTCAACTCCTCTAGCACAAGTTCTCTTTCCTCTAGGTATTGCTCCACTGAAGAATTAGGTGTACTTCCTCTCCCATAGTGCACTAGGTGTGGGGGGTCCCTCCCATACAACACTTTGAACGGTGTCATCTGAGAAGCAGAATGGTGTGAGGTGTTGTACCAGTACTCCGCCCATGATAACCATTGTGCCCACTTCCGTGGTGTTTCTGAAGCAAAGCACCTCAAATATGTCTCTAAGCTCCGGTTTACCACCTCTGTCTGTCCATCTGTCTGGGGATGATAGGCGGTACTTCTCTTGAGGACAGTGCCCTGCATTCGGAACAGTTCCCTCCAAAATTGACTAAGGAACACTTTGTCTCTATCAGACACAATCGATTCAGGAATCCCATGCAGTCTAACAACTTCCCTGATAAAGGCGGCTGCTACTGACACAGCAGTGTAGGGGTGTCGTAAGAGAATGAAGTGTGCATATTTGCTGAGTCGGTCCACCACTACCAGGACGACCGTGAATCCTTCTGATCTGGGTAAGCCGTCGATGAAATCTATGGACACTTCCTCCCAAACTTTGTTTGGAAGTATCAATGGACACTTCCTCCCAAACTTTGTTTGGAAGTATCAATGGTTGTAGTAGTCCTCCTGGAGCCATCGCCATGTATTTGTTTCTCTGGCACACCTCACACCTTGCTACCATCTCCTCCACATCTTTGTGCATCCCTTTCCAGTAGAGCTCAGCATATAGCCTCCTGTAAGTCTTCTGAACTCCTGAGTGGCCTCCAATCGCGCTGCCATGAAACTCTTGTAACAAGTGGGGAATGTGGATGGAGGTTCTCGGCATCACAAACCTCCCTTGATACAATAGTCTCTCCCCCTCAATGCAGTAACCTGGATGGCTACTCTTGTCTGTCCTCAGATCTTCTCTGATCTTTCCCAGTTCTTCATCCTGCAGGCTTTCTTCCTTGAGCGCACCCCAGTCGACCATCAAGGGTACCGACACAGCTAATTCTTGGAGCTCCCCAACACATCTGGATAAAGCATCGGCTGCCTTATTTTCCAAACCCGGCTTATAATAGATCTCAAAATCGTAGCCTAATAGCTTGGATAACCACCTTTGATGTTCCTCGGTAACCATTCTTTGTTCTAACAGATACTTCAAGCTCTTCTGATCAGTCCGTACAATAAAGTGTCTTCCCAGGAGATAAGGCCGCCACTTCTGAATAGCCAGGACAATGGCCATCAGCTCTCTTTCATAATCTGACTTCAATCTAGCCCTGGCTGAAAGCACTTGACTGAAGTATGCAACTGGCCTGTGATTCTGCATCAACACTGCACCTGGCCCATATCCTGATGCATCCGTCTCCACTACAAAGACCTGACCAAAGTCTGGAAGAGCTAGAACAGGAACCGTTATCATGGCTTCTTTTAACCTCTCGAACGCCTGAGTGGCTGCCTCTCCCCAGCAAAAAAATTGTCTTTATTTAGCTGCTCAGTCAGGGGCCAAGCAATGGTACCATATCCCTTCACAAACTTCCTGTAGTATCCCGTCAATCCTAGGAAACCCCTCAACTCCCTGAGGTTCCTAGGAAGTGGCCATTTCTGTATTGCCTCAATTTTAGTTTGATCCGCTGTCACTCCCTCTTGGGAAACCACATGTCCTAAGTACTCCACACTCGCCTGAGCAAAACTGCACTTCTTCAAGTTGGCTTTCAATTGATGCTCCTAAAGCACTTCCAATACCACCCGCAGATGTTCCAAGTGCTCTTCCACGGTCATGCTGTACACCAGGATGTCATCGAAAAAGACCAGGACAAACTTCCTGAGGTGCTGCTTGAATACCCGATTCATCAAGGATTGAAAGATTGCAGGAGCGTTAGTCAATCCAAAGGGCATTACCAGAAATTCATAATGCCCTTCATGTGTCCTGAACCCTGTCTTTGGAACATCTGCCTCCCTCATTCTGATCTGGTGGTATCCAGATTTCAAATCCAGCTTCGAAAACAGCACTGCACCATGTAGCTCGTCCAGCAGCTCATCAATCACCGGATTAGGAACTTATTTGGTACAGTGCCATTATTCAGAGCCCTGTAATCCACACAAAATCTCCAACTCTCATCCTTCTTCTTGACCAGGAGGATTGGACTAGAAAAAGGGTTGTTGCTGGGTCTGATAATCTCAGCCTTCGGCATTTCCCGGATCAGCTTTTCAATCTCATCTTTTTGAATCTGTGGGTAGCGGTAAGGACGGACACTGATCGGAGTCTCACCTTCTTTCAAAGTAATGGCATGCTCCAACTCTCTCTGAGGAGGTAAACCCTGGGGCGGTTGAAAGACCTCGCTGAACTGGTGTATGAGCGGCTGTACTGTAGCGGAAACATTTCCTTCCTCCTCCAATATGACCCCTTTCAGGAGGTGCAAATCTACTAAGTAGCCTCCCCCCTCTTCCTGAATGGTTCTGATGAGGGATTTGAGAGAAACCCCCGCCTTGGTCAGTCCAGAATCACCCTGAATCGTCCTTTTTCTTCCCCCAACCACCAACTCCATCCTCAGTGTACCCCAATTGATTTTGGTATCTCCCAATATCTGCAGCCATTTCATCCCAAGGATGACATCCGTACTCCCCAATTCTAAGGGAAGGAAGTCTTCCTTTACATGGATTCCTTGAATCTTCAGTACTACTCCTCGACAGACTCCTCGTCCCATCTCTACCTTCCCGGTGCCCATCATTACCCCGTAACCTCCGGTATCCACTAGCTCCATCCCCAATGCATTTACAATCTGGGTGAAAATGAAATTGTGTGTTGCTCCACTATCTATCAACACCACCACCTTACGGTCAGAGATCTCTCCTTTCACCTTCATAGTGTGACTCGAAGTGAATCCCACTACTGAGTTCAAAGAGACTTCTGCTACGTCCAGATGCAACTTCTCCTCCTCCACCTTGGGGTCATTCTCACCTCCCTCTTCGTCTTCCTCGTCTTCATAGACGAGGATAACCTAAAGAGATCGGTCCTTGCACCTATGCCCCGTCATGTACTTCTCATCACACCTGAAGCACACCCCTTTTGCCCTTTTTTCCTGCAGCTCCTTCTCGATCAGCTTTTTGAACTGCCCCCCGTTACCGCCTCCTCCCATCTTCTCCTTGGGTGCTTCCTTCGTGCTCCCGGGGCCTGCCCCTTTTGCTGGTAAGAATGTGGTCGTCGTCCTGTACGACCCCCCTGAATAGTTTCCCCGAGTCCCTCTTTCATACTTTTTCTGGTCCTTCACCAACTGGGCCAACTCCATGGCCTTGCCTAGATTCCTTGGCTCCAAGTCTCCAACACTCTGACTGCTGTTCTTATCTCTAGTTTCAGCCCTTTCATGAAATTCCCTTCCAGGGCTGACTCCGAGATATGATCCAGCCTGCTAGCCAGATACTCAAACTTGTCCCGGTAGTCTGTCACGGTCCCCTCCTGAGTTAGAGCAAAGAATTGCTCATAGAAGTCTCCTCCATCATCGGCTCAGAAACGCTCCAATAAACAATCATTGAACTCTCTCCAGCTACGAATGGGCTCCCTCCTGTCACGCCACTGATACCATGCTAAGGCTTTTCCCTCCAAGCATATTCCTGCTGCTGTCAGTTTCTCCTCCTCTGTCAGCACATTGACAGCAAAATATCGCTTCACCTTATAGATCCAACCATGGCAGTCTTCGCCCT